GAAGAACAGATTCAAACCTAGAGTTGCTGTAATCAAGGATGCTTTGGGCAGAATATTAAATGATCCAGGAAGTATTAAAAGAAGATGGAAGGAATATACTGAGTCATTATATAGAAAGGAACTGGCAGATACAGAGGAATTTAAAGAAATAACATATGAGCAAATAATTGATTAGCTTAATTAATAATGCAGTCTACCTTAAGTATTAAGCTTTTTCTTTGTTGCGGGAGCAGTAAACCTGTTCTTAACTTTATAGTAGCAATCTCCTATAACTGTTCTTTCGTGCTTGATTTATTTTACTCAGCAACACTGTGCTCTTTTAACAACTATCTCTATGGGATCAGGGAGCTCTGGGAGTGCAGTCCACAGGGCGCTGTGCCGCTAACCCAAAGGCATTGCCTCTCTGGCATCTGGTTCAAATTCACAAGTGGCACTAAAGGAGAAAGATGGGAAATTGCCTCTCACGCAATTTACAGCTTCAGAAACCTGCTGGGAGGTCTGCTCTGGGTCAGTGGCAATAAGTGATCCTATGGGATCCAAGTGACAACAGCAACTTCAATGATTTCACCTTAGAGGGGAGGTGAGTTTATGTAAACGAGGAAGAAACAACTCAGAAAAAGAGGAGAATGGTTGTTCAATCAAAAGAATGTAATCAGAGTCACTAAACTGTGCAAACAGAAATTGTTGAATTGGTATGTTTTGCTGTGTATATTGTCAACATCATCAAAATAAAATTTACACAAAAAAAATATAGCCCAAAAAGCTGTATGGAACAGAGTTCTAATCTGTCCTGTAAGATCACTATGTCTTGGGAGCTCTGGTGGCCTAGCGGTAAGGAATTGTGCTGCCGATGCAAAGGTATGTGGTTCGAATCCACCAGCTTCTCAGTGGGAGAAAGATGAGCAATCAACTCTCATGCAATCTACTGCCTCTGAAAACACTCTGGAGGGTCAGCTATGAGTTGATTCCGACTCAATGGTACACAACAATATGAGTTGGAATCAACTTGAGGCCACACAACAACGTCTGTCAACATGTTATCTCTGGTAGTGCAAATGTTTAATGTACTCAGTTGTTAACCAAAGGGCTGGGGGTTTGAGTCCTCCTAGAGACACACTGGAAAAAAGGGCTGGTGATCTCCTTCTAAAATATCAGCCGTTATAGTTCTACTGAGGTGCATGGGGTCACCATGAGTTAGGGTCAATTTAACAGCAATGGTAGCTTAAGTCCCCTAAACTGGGGTGGCAGGAAGGGATGGGGTTACATACAGTCAGTGGGGAGGTCATGCTCCCCCAACTGCCAACTGCCACCAGGTCCATTGACCCTCATGGCCGGAGTTAGTCTTCAGAGAGAAGCCAAACATTCCCAATGAAGTGTCTGGTTTGGGGAGACAGGGAAGGACGGCAGGGAGTGAGAAGATGTGGGGATCTCGGATTTCCACTCAGGGCAGGGGCGGCCATGGTGGACACCTACCAGCGGGGCCATCCACTCGAAGAGGTTGACGCTGTCCCCATCGTTGATGTAGTAGGCCTGTCCACTCTGAGGGGACAGCAGGGAGGAAGGTCAGGCCACCACCCACCAGCTTGGTCCCCACCCTTTTGTGTGGTTCCTGGCAGCTGCTCTAATCTTCCAGTTCTCCTGGGGACACAGGTATGACCAGCCCCCAACCTGGACGGGTCTGCCTGGTTTGGGTCCTAACAGCTGGGTGGATCCGGAACTCTCTTTCACTATCAGGGGTGTCATCTAACTCTGAGGCTCAGATTCTTTGTCAGACAAATGAGAATAATGAGATGCTCCTTACCCCCACCCCAACCCGTGGGCTGTTATGGAGATGAAGTGTGATGCTTGGCATCTGGTCCTGATTACAAGGTCCACGCCACCTACCTCCAGATCATTCTGATGAGCTAAGAAAGCTCAGAAATGCCTCCATCCCCACCCCAGCTTCCGCACGACCACTGTCCTGCAGCCAACAGGAGTTGGGGAGAATTCTTCTGTATGTGGGCCCAGGTATTCCCTAGGGATGGGCACTCCCCCCCATGCCCCCGCTTGCAGCCCAGGGTGCTGTCCCAACAGCATTGCAGGAAACTCACCGCCACAAAGCCCTTAGCAGCAGTCAGGCCCTCGGCTGCCAGCACGTGTGCCTGTACCAGGTTGCACACATGGACCCAGTTCATCTGTGCTCTGCGGTCCCCAAATCGGAACATGAACAGCCTTTTCTTGATGTGGCTCTGGTGGGAGAGGTGAGAGTGGGTCTGGAGTGGTCTGAATGCCGCCTGTCTGCCATCTCTATGCTGTGCTTCCTGTATTTCTATCTAACCACCAGACTCCTCTCCCTCCAAATGCCAGGCTCAGATTCTTAACACCTGGCACCTCCATATGGCTCCCCAGGAACACCTCAGCGACCAAGTATGGCACCGAATGCCTGACCTCTCCCAACCCGCTCCATCCACCTCTTCCGGCTCTCTGGAGATGGCACACTGCGGCCCAGGCCAAACCCCTTGGGACCACTTTTGACAAATCTCTCCGGGATGTGACCACTTCTCCCTCCCTCACCTGGATAGGACCACAGCCTCCTATAACTGGTCCCTCACCGCCTGCTGTCTGTTCTGGATGCCACTGTGTACCGTAGAGTTGGAACCAACCCATAGCTGACCCTCCAGAGGGTTTTCAAAGGTAGTTAGTCGCATGGGAGAAGACTGCCCATCCTTCCCCTGCAGAGCAGCGGGTAACCTCAAACCAGTGCAGTTTCTTGCCATTAGGCAACCAGAACTCCCAGATCATGTCTCTCCTCTGCTCAAAATCTTCAGGACCCCCGTCCTGCCAGGATGACAGAGGCTGACCAGACCCTTCCTGGTCTGACCCCAGTCACTCTCTGATGTCATCTCTTACTAAACATCACTCCTATCCCTGCTCTCTCGGCTCCAGTGACACGGGGCTCCCTGCCGTTTCCAGAAGATCCGAGATGTTCTCACCTAAGGACTTTGGATTAGCTGTCCCCTCTGCCTCTCTTCCCTCGGTCCTTCCTCCACATACCTGTGTGGTGCGCCCTGTGGTCTCCTTGACCTTGATGCTCAAATCACCTTCTCAGTGAGGCTCCCTGACTCCCTTCCTTAAGCCTGTGTCCCTGCCTGGCTCTCCCAACTCCCTCACCTTCTTCTTTTTTCTGTAGTACCTGGCACCTTAAAAAACTCCACCAATAAAAACCCCTCATAATCTATCATGTTTAGCTTTGTCTTGCATGTAAGTACCTAAGCGCCACAAGGCAGGCATTATCTTGCTCAAAGATTTATCTCCAAATCTGAACCATACTGGGTTCAGATATGGGCATAGAAATCTCTCTCTCTCTCTCTCTCTCTCTCTCTCTCTCTCGTTGTGTACTATCAAGTCAGATCTGACTGGTACAGGAGGAGATTGCCCCTCCTTCTCCAGCAGAGCAGCTGGTGGATTTGAACTGCTCACCTTTAGGATTGCCACACAGCTTCTTGCCACTAGGCCACCAGAGCCCCCACTTATTGACTATCTTGTTATCTGACATTTTACATTTACAGCCACAAGAATATTCTACTCTATTTTGTGGGGATAGGATGGGGTAATCTTCTCCAGTGCAATTAACTACCTCTAAAAACCTGCTGGAGGGTCAGCTACGGGTCGGTCTCGACTTAGGGGGACATTGATGATTTCTATCTGGCAGCAAGGAATGCCAGAATGCAGGATGATGGTAGTGAAGGTTAAGGTTATGTATCAACTTGGGCGGGCAGCAGTTAAATAACAATGTCATTTCGTGGTTAGATGAGGTCCTCCTCCTCCATGTTTGCGTAATGCCAATCTCTGATTAATAGCTTGATCTGTGGACCCTAAGCATGTTGCTGCTTGAGGAGTGGGTGTAACAGGGACTCAAGTATTTCTTGAATGTCATAGTGGATAAGGAGTCCTGGTGGTGGGTGAAGTGATTAAGAGCTCTGCTTCTAATCAAAAGGTCAGTGATTTGAATTCACCAGCTGCTCCTCAGGAGAAATATGCCACAGTCTGCTGTGACCGGAGTGGAAACTCTGGGGCATTTCTACTCTGCCTGATTGGGTTGCTATAAAGTAGAATAGACACAATAGTAGAGGGTTTTTTGGTGTGACCGAACAAATGGGCAGAGTAGTCACTGGGCTCACCCCATAGCCTGACTCCTCAATTAACTTCAAAAAGAAAAAAGAAAAAAAACACTCATACAATTCCAGTATAGGAATTCTTGGAAACTTTTATGTCACTTCTCTGAAATCGTCCTCTGACCCCCTACTCCAACCCTGTACCCCCAGATCCAGACACAGCGTCCTGTTCCTTTCTAAACCAACCATGGCCTTTCTCATTTCCCGATTCTTGCCTCAGCTGTCTTCTCTATTTGGATTGTCTCTTCACTACAAGTCATTCCTTTGGCTCATTACTCTTCCAACACAGGCATTGCCTCCTCCAGGCAGCCCTCCTGGACTTCTCCCTGCCACGCCCTCTGCTGTACTCTCATCCTCTCAAACACCCTCACCACACGGGGTCTGTGACTACAGCATCTGCCCCTCCTCCAACCTTAAGTCCATTCACTGTTCTTTGCCAATAACAGCAAGACTTTAAAAAACATCAGAAACCGCCAAGCTATATTCCTGGCACCCAGCTTTCTCTAAAATAGATATTTCTGCCTGAAGACCCTGGGGTTGGCAGCATAGGGTAAACCATCAGTTCTCAGGGAGCACACATGGTGGTGGAAAAATCGGGCTCCCCTGTCTCTGTGGGGTCACAGTGCCATGTCTCCCCAGCTTGACCACTCTGCTTGCTGGACCAAGTCTTCGGCCTTATTTAGAGCATATGCTGGCAGATCAGAGGGGCCCACAGACTGGTAAGTAGGGGCACCTCCCAGATTAGAGGGTCCCAGGAACTGACACGGGGAACCTGTATAGGCTGGGAGAGTCCGTCAGCATGCACACACCAGCCCAGTTCCTCCTGTGCCTCAGGGCCCAGGTGACATACCGCCACACGGGGCAGGTGCCTCTGCTCTTCGGGGCCGTAGATACCCGGGGGCCGGAGAACGCATGTCCGCAAAGTGCCTCCTCCTAGAACACAGAAGAGAGTGGTCAACAGCCCGAGGAGGGACAGCCCAGCAGGAAGAAGGACAGGAAGACTGTCCATAACTCCCATCCTTACCTGGACAGGGTAGAGACGTCCTCATTAAATTACTTACTCTCTCTCCATCTATTAGTCATTCAACAAACGCCATTCAGGCTCCCCTCCCCTGAGCCCCAGGATAAATGCTGTGAAGAATTCAAGGATGATGAAGAATGGCTCCTGCCCTCATGACGCTGGAGGTCAGTGGTTAAGGTAACACTTAGATGCAAACATCTGCATGGCCCAGGTGAGTTGACCCAGCACTCGGGCAGACTCAGTCTCCTTCAATTCTCCTGGACATACTACTCTAGCCATGATACAGACCCACAGCTCCTTCGGTCCCAGCCATCGGACAGTGAACACGACCACTCTCAGAGATCTGAGTATGTCTAGAAAGCCAAGACTTTTTGGGTTTTTTTCCCACCAAGGCAATCCTATGAGGTAGGAGCTGCTTGCACCCCTGTTCTCTGGCTGACACCACTTGCCCAGCATCACATAGTTCAGTGGGGTGGAGCAGAGACATGGATTCAAAGCCTTTCATTGATACTCCTGCTTCTGATTGAGTACAAAGTGAACAAGTGTGCTGTTATGAGCAGTGAAGTCAGTCCTGACGCATAGCCACGCCATGCAGATGGAAGGAAATTGTACACCGCTGCTGCTCTCAAGCCCACTGTTGTAATCCATCTCATTGAGGGTCTTCCTCTCTTTCACAGACTCTCTACTTTTCCAGCCATGGTTTCTTTCTCCTAATAAGGTCTGGTCCCTCCTGATAAGATGCCCAAAGTACACGAGACCAAGTCTTGCAATTCTTGTTTTTAAGAAGCACTGTAGCTCTATTTCTTCCAAGAAGAAATTGTTGTGGGTTTTTTTTAAGTCCATTCACTATTCTTTGCCAATAACAGCAAGACTTTTAAAAACATCAGTTCTTTTCTGATCATCCTTATTCATTGTTTCATTCATTGCGACTTAGTGGTAAGGAACTGCATTACCAACCCGAAGGTACATGTCTTCTTCGTTTTCTGCAAACTAAGTTCTGCCATCTCTGTATCACAGGTTGGTGATGAGTCTGCTTCCACTTTTGATGCTACATTTTTTATCTATCCACTAGCAAGCAGCTCCATGGGAGAAAGGTGGGCAAACTCCTCTCTTGCTATTTACTATCTCTGAAAAGCTTCTGAACAATGAGGCTCGGAGCTAACGGTACACAACAACATCAACTGAAACATGACAATATTTACGCTCATTTAGTCAGTGCACTTGATTCATCTTGTATGATGTTACCTATTTCTTTTCTTTTTAAAAAATAATCAAATAGACATTCTTGTGGTATTCTCTGCTTTCAACAAAGGTCCATCTGACACCAGCACTGATACCCCTGGTGCATCTTCTAAACAACAACAACAACATTCATTGTCAGCTTTCAAATACATACGACTCATTCACTTAGTCATTGTTGTTGAATTGGGACCAACTCAGAGCCGACTCTCAAGCAGGTGTTTGGAGGTTGTAGATCACACAGGCGAGCACTGGCTATCTCTCTCCTGCAGGGCTGAGGGTGAATTAGAACCACCAGCAAGGGTCTGTTTACAGTGCAACTCCCCACAGAGCATGCCACCAGCATGCCACTAGGGGGGATCAAAAGCATATGAGATATGATGGTTTGGTGTGATACACGTTAGTCTTTAAATTACATCCTTGCTCTTTAGCACTTTTAAAAAAAATTTTTCTTTTTATCTCATTATTTTTTGTGTGTACCATCAAATCAGATCTGACTGGTACAGGAGGAGATTGTTCCTCCTTCTCTAGCAGAGCATCTGATGGATTTGAACTGTGCACCTCTGAGCTTATAGTTGCAGCTTCTTGCCAGTAGACCACCAGAACTCACCACTCTTTGGCACTTTTAAGAGGGCCTTAGCTGCAGATTTCCCCAAGGCAATACAGGATTTGGTTTCTACTGCTATTTCCACAGAAATTGACTGTGGATTCAAATAAAATTAAATTCTTTACAACTTCAATCTTTTTTTTTTTACCACTTACCATAATGTTTATCATGTGGATTTGAACTTTCTTTATGAGCCATACTGAGGGTTGTCATCTCTGAGCTCCAACAGTCATTGTTTTGAGTCTTCTTCGTTTTCTGCAAACTAAGTTCTGCCATCTCTGTATCACAGGTTGGTGATGAGTCTGCTTCCACTTTTGATGCTACATTTTTTATCTATCCCAGTGTCTCAGATTATTTGCTCAGCATACAGGCTGAACAGGTATCGTAAAAGGATACAACCACAATACACACCTTTTCTGATTTTAAACCATGCAGTGTCCTCTTGTTCTATTTGAATGACTGCTTCTTGGTTTATGTACAGGTTCTGCATGAGCATCACCAAGTGTTCTAGAATTTCCATTCTTCTTAATGTTGGACATAGATTGGGATCAAGCATATCAGAGATGAGGAGGATGGCACAGGATAGGGTTAAGGTTCAGATCTGTTATTCGTTAAGTTTTATATGAGTCATAGTTCAAGTATCTGGACCGGGAGGCAGTTGTCAGAACAAAGCAGGGAAACACTACGTGGCTCAAAATTGGGAAGGGTGTATGCCATGCCTATTTCCATACCTTTTCAATCTATATGCAGAACAGATCACCCAAGAGGCTGGGCTCTACGAGAAGAAATGTGGCATCAAGATTGGAGATAGACTCATCAACAATCTGCATTATGCAGATGACACAACCTTGTTTGCTGAAACTGAGTAGGACCTGAAGGGCTTGCTGCAGAAGGTCAAGGACTGCAGTCTTCAATATGAATTGAAGCTCAACATCAAGAAACAAAAACTCTCACCACTGGGTCAATTGACAGGTGAAGAGATTGAGATAGTTAACAGCTTTAGTTTGCTTGGCTCCACAATCAACACTCTAGGTACCAGCAGCCAGGAAATCAAAAGCTGAATTGCACTGGGAAAGTCAGCTGTCAGGGACCTATCTAGAGTATTGAAGAGCAATACTCTGGACACTATGGTGCATCTGATCCAGGCCATAGTCTTCATAATTACTTGCTATGTATCAGAAAGCTGGACAATGACTAGGGATGATAGAAAGAGAATTGATGCCTTTGAACTGTGATACTGGAGAAGATTACTTAATATACCCTAGACAGCCGGGAGAACAAATATATTCATCCTAGAGAGGACTAAACTGGGCAGCTCCTTGGAGGCAAGGACTCTGAGGCTTCATCTGACCTACTTTGGACATGTTGCAAGGAGGGACCAGTCCCCTGAAGGGTGGAAGAACAGCACAAGAGAGGAAGACTCTCGATGAGATGGATTGATTCAGTGACTGGGGTAATGAGGTTAGGCGTGTCAGAGACAATAAGATTGGCTAGGATAGAGCAGATTTCAGAGCTTTTTGTACAAAGGGTCACTATGAGCCGCAAGTAACTTGATGGCATGTAACAACAACAGCAACATGAACCACTGGCACCTAACAATACAATAGCAACAAGATTATTTATCATGATCCACAGCTGAATGCCTTTGCACAGTAAATAAGTAAATATCTTTCTGGTATTCTTAGCTTTCAGCCTAGGTCAATCTGACATCAGCAATGATAATCCTCTGTGCCATAGCCTTTTTGAGTCCACCTTGGACCTCTGACATTTCTTTTTTTTTTTAAATAACACCTAAAGTTTATTAGATGACAGCACACACAGAAAACGCAATTAATTAGTCGAGGAGCCTACTATCCGTTCCCAAAGGGATCATCCTAAGAATTGAGACCCAAGAGGCGAACCCAGGCAAAGGCCTGGTCTGCCGACCTCTGACATTTCTTGTCGATGGGTTACTCCAAGCACCTTCAGCAAGATTTTACTTGCACGTGTTATTCACATTATTGTTTGATTTCATATTCTGTTGGATCATCCTTTTTTTTTTTTTTTTAAAAAAAAACACGGATATAAACATGAATGTCTTCAGTTAGTTGGCCGCGTAGTTGTCTTCCAGACAAGTTCACATGTTCAGGGAATTAATAATAACTGATGATTGGAATGCAAAAGTTGGAAACAAGGAAGAAGAGTTGATAACCAGAAAATATGACCATGGTGATATAATTGAGGCCAGAAATAATCATTATAGACTTTTGTGTGACCAGTGATTTGTTAATTGCAAATACTTGTTTAAAATATGTATAAATGGTAACTATGTACATGGACCTTACTTGATGGAATACACAGGAGTCAGATTAACTACATTAATGGAAAGAGATGATAGAGAAGCTTAATGCCATCAGTCAGAATAAGACCAGATGTGGGCCCTGGAATACACCATCAATTGCTCACATGCATGTTCAAATAGATGAAGAAAATTAACATAGAGGAGAAGTGAAAACAAAAAGAAGAAATCATGAAATAAAAGAGCTACAGAGAAGATTTCAAAGGGTATCTCGAGAAGATAAAGTAAGGGACAACAACAAAATGTGCAAGAAACTAAACTAGAAAACAAAACTAAACTAAATGGGAAGAAATGCTCCTACTTCCCAAATAGAAAGTCATGAAGAAAAGAGTCAAGTCTTGAGTTGCAAGACTGAAGAATTCTAAGGGCAAAATATAGAATGATGAGGAAAGCATGAAAGGATGATGGAAAGAATACAGTCATTATAAGAAAGAGAAATGGTTGACACGGAGTCTTTTCAGAAGATCAAGAACCAATATGATCAAGAACCAATAGTAGTGAAGGAAGAAGTCCAAGCTACACAGAACATAGAGGCAAAGAGTAAGACTCAGGAAACTGACAAAATATGAACAAGTAGACCCTGCCACCCAGCTCCCTAATCTTGATTTCCTTATCTGTACAACGATGCTTTATAAGCAGTTATTCGGTGCCATTGAGTAGTAACTGACTCATTGCTGACTCTCCAGGGGGCTTTCAGAGACAGTAAATTGCCCATCTTTCTCTCCTGTAGCATCTGGTGGATTTGAACCACCCATCCTTGGGTTGGCAGCATAAACAACAGAAAAAGGAAAAGACTAACACCATCAACACAAGCACCTGGGGGTCTATCCCCAAGCTTCCACTGCTACATCCCAGGGGAGTCTCAGGTTTCCAGACTTTCCCCCGAGGGGCTCCCATGGTGGAAATGCGTAACCGTATCTCACCTGGAGAAGTCTGGGGTAGAGCACCAAGGGGCTTTCACAAACACATTTAGATCTGAAGAATATCTACACAATGTTTACGTTCCTGTACAATTCATTTATGTTCGTATTACGATTCTTTTAAAGATGTTAAAACACTTATCAGTTCTCCCAACTCCCATTCTTCAAATGAAATGGAACCATAAATGTGTTTCATTATTCCTAGACTCAGGTTTGCAAAGGGCTGTCTCCCAGTTAGGGAAGCCCATTGTAGATCACCTTCAGCGACCAGGAACCAGCCCTATTTTGGGGAAATGCTCTCCCTCTACACAAGGTCTTGAGTGGGAAGTGGTGGCCAAGGGGCCCAAACTGGACCAACAAGATGTTCTCCTCCAGGTATGTGACTCGTGACATGACTGACAACATGACCTAAAATTCCAGGCGTGGGCTCACCCGGAGGGACTATTTGGCATCTCTTGTCCCCATGCTCCCCAAACTACCCTATACTCTATTCCCCCCCACCCCAATTCTGATGGTCCTTTCTCTGGAAACTATCAAGTATCTTTCCACATATGCTCCCTTTCCTCCGTTAACTTAGTGAAGGCTAAGTGGTCTCCTGGGTATGGAGTTGTACTGTCAGCCCAGAGGTAAGTGGTTCAAATGCATCAGCTGCTCTGTGGGAGACAGATAGGCGTCTCCTCTTATGCAATCTACAACTTCTGAAAACCTCCTGGAGAGTCAGCGATGAGTCTATTCTGCCTGGGTAATACATAACAATAACAACAACACAGTGGGATGTGGGTTTTTTTTTATTATTTTTAAAGTATCTCCTGACCATAACCAGCTACCCTGACTGTGACATTCTCCAACATCTTCACTTCACAGTGAGGCCACAGCTGTTAGTTGAACGGTGGCCCTCCAAAAGATATATCCCTCTCTCCTCTCTTAGAATGAGAGGATGTGAGCTTATTTGCAAGGAGGGTCTTTAAAGAAGGTATAGAGGCCTTGGGATGAGATCATTCTGGGTGATCCCAGTGAGTCTTAAATCCAGTGGCAAGTGTCCTGAGAAGAGACACACAAGGGGGACAGATGGAGGAGAGGAGATGTCACATGAAGATGGAGGCAGAGACTGGAGGAGCTTGGCTACAACTAAGCGGGCCTGATGGCACCAGAAACCAGAAGAATTCTCCCCAGAACATGTGGGAGGCGTGAGACCCTATGTGACCTTGACTTTCGATTTCTAGCCTCTAAAATTGTGAGAGGATGAATTTTTTTGTTTGTTTGGAGTCATTTGTCCTGGTGGCTACTGGAAGCTCGTCCATACCGTGACAGCAATGACACTTCATTCACAATGAACTAAGATCAGCTGTGGAGTGACAAGGACCCTCACGGACCAGAAATCACCTGGGGTGACCATGAGAAGGCAGGTGTCAGGTGAGCTTTGCTGTAAACAGGCTGCAGCTAATTTTAAACTCTGGGTCACCTGGGTATATGTGTCAGGGGTGGGTCAGGTTGCAGCTGATATAGGCCGGTGGGGCACTGGGCAGCCACGTCATGGAGAGGCTGGGCCCGGGGTATCCATGACTCTCTTGACCATGGAAATCTGGGGACGCTCGTATAAATAATTCTCAGCCAGAGGATTGGGTGTCTGGCATGCAGGCTGGGGGAGTGGCCAGTAGGCCCAAGACAGAGAAGATAACTCAATGACAAGGTTAAATGGGGAAAAGCCTGTGAGATCTTCCCACTGGACACAGGACAGTGCAGGGTGCTGAGGGGAAAGGATACCAGAGCACTATTCAGCTGTGGCTGTAATACAGCACAGCGGCAAAGCTCTAGACCTCAGTGTCACATCCTCTGGGGTTCGAGTCTCACTTTTACCACTTCGCAGCTATGCATTTAACCATGCCTGCCGTGCAGGAGGAAGATGGGCAGTTTCCTCCTGTACGACTTACTGCCTCTGGAGGGTCAGCTGTGAGTTGGTTCCAACTAAAAGATACACAGCACAAGAGCCTCAGCTTAAGATTAAGTTGCACCTGATCCAGGCCACGGTCTTTCCCATCACTTGCTGTGCATCTGAGGACAATGAATGAATAAAGACGACAGAAGAATTGAGGCCTTTGAGCTGTGGTGTTGGAGAAGAGTATTGCCTGTGCCATGGGCTGCCAAGAGAACAAACAGTATGTCTTGGAAAAAATGCAGCCAGAATGCTCCCTGCACACAAGGATGGTGAAGCTTTGTCTCATATACTTTGGACACATTGCTAGGAGAGGCTTGTCCTTGGAAAAGGGACATCATGCTTGGAAAGGTGGAGGGTCAGAGAAGAGAGGTAGACCCAGAGCAAGATGGAGTGACACAGTGACTGCAGCAGTGGGCTCATGGATGCCCGAGAAGCTGAGGTCAGCACAGGAGGGGATAAAGTTCAGATCTGTTGTTCATAGGATTGCTAGGAGTCGTCCTCGTCTTGATAGCATTCGACAACAATAACAACAGCCTCAGGTTTGCCCCCTCTAAAATGGGGCTTTATAATCTCAAATATCCTTGCTTTGCAAATCAGTCCATTTGGTTTCTGAGTTCAGAAGATGAACGCAGTAAAAGGATCTGATTGTTTGCCATTTCTGATTTTGGAAAGTACATTGTACTAGGGTGGGGAGCAGAGAATTTCTCTGGATCTATGTAGTTCCTGAGTTTAGAAAGTGAGGGATGCCTAAAATGTCAACATCCCCTGGATGGTGAGAGGTGTTACACAGACTTCTGCTGGCAGGTAGAAAGTGCTAGATTGGTGGAGACTGTCTCTATGTGATTGCAGTGAGACCTACGGACTCCAGGCCCTGAGTAAGGCCAGAACCTAGAGCCATCAGTTGGGAACCTGTCAGAGAAGAAACACTCAAATATATTCCACGGAAATGGGTACTAAAAAGATAGGAAGATGGCACCCTGTCAATGGCAAAAAAAAAAAAGATAAAAAATAAAATAAAACAAAACACCCCAGCCAGCAAGGCCTAGAAAAACAAGTCAGTCCCACTGAGAGCCAGCTTTCAGTTTCATTGAATCCTCCCAAGCCAGGAGAGGCAACAGCAATGCAGTGAGGCAGCTGAGGCAGAGTGTCCTGGGAGGTTAATAAAGGGGACACTGTAGGGCCCCTTGCCTGCATGGTCCTCTCAAAACACTCCACAACACCTCCTTCCAGATCCATAACTCATATACCAAGAAATAAACCAAAAAACCTCACTACCATGGAGCTAACTGCAATTCATGGTTGCCCTCTGTTGGTTGTGGAGGCTGTAAATCGTCATGGAAGGAGACTGTCCAGCTTTCTATCATGTGGCGGCTGGTGGATTCAAACTACTGACCATTTGCTTAGTGGCACAACATGAAATGACCTATGCCACCAGAGTGCCTTCATATACAAAGACTCAAACTCAGCTCAACTCTCAATTGCTGTCAAGTTGGAACTAACACATAGCTGATCCTCTCGTGGGTTTTTGAGAGGCTGTAAATCACATGAGAATATACCCATCTTTCTCCGAAAGGGCAGCAGGTAGGTTTGAACCTCCAGAGAGGTGAGACCTTTGGGTTAGCAGCACAACTCCCCATGGACCCACCACCAGAGCTCTCTCTCTCTCATTGTTACCAACTCAGAACCAACTCATTGCTGACTCCCCAGCAGGTTTACAGAGGCTGTAAATCACAGGAGACGAGACTGTACATCTTTTTCCCAAGGAGTAGCTGGTGGATTCAAACCACCACCTTTGGGTTGGCAGCACATCTCCTTAACCACTAGGCCACCAGAGCTCCGTCATATATAAAGAGGCCCCTAAAAGCAGAGCTACTCCTGTATATCAGAAAAGAGAGACTTGGGAGCCTCAGTCTCCTCATCTGTAGAGTGGGCATCAGAGGGTGACAGCTCCCCTCCCACCTCTCACAGGGTGCTGAGGAGATGGGGTGTCAGGGGGGCCAGGAGAGAGCTGCAGCCACCAAGTCAGCCCAGGGGCTCCTACTCCTGCTGGCACCTCCTGACCAGACAGGGGTCAGTAAGTTACCCCCAACATTCACCTTGCCATCTTCTCATACATGAATGCCAGCACCCAGATGCTGATCAGAGGAGCCTCTGGCAATGGCTCTTGCGTTCACCCTTCCCCCAGTCCCCTGCCACCCTCATTCCTTTCTACAGTCACCTGCAGTCCAAGGTGGTGGCCATCTCTGGCCTGGATGCCACCGCCTCCTCCCTGATCATTCGAGAACACACATTGCCCCCACATCATCCTCTTGTTTAAAGTCAACCCTTCAGTGGCTCCCAAACACCTTGACTTGTCTCCCCAGGCTCTTCACGATCTGACCCCTGGCTCTCCTGTGCTCCTTCCTTCTCTTGGACAGTAGAGGGCCAGCCCTGCTGCCCCCAGGCCTTTGCACATCAGTGTCTGCCCCTGGGGACCGTGCCCCTCCTCCTTGCCTTTACGGAGGAAGACAGCTTTCCTCATTCAGCCCCTGCCAGGCCTTCCAGTGCTCTCAGAGCCTCCTGCTCCCTTAATGACTCTGTCAATCAGGTTCGGCCCCTCCCCTCAAGATTGAGCAGTGTGAGGGTGGAGGGAGAGTCTGACTCTTTCATGACTGTTCTGGCCGCGCCCTGCCTCCCACCAAGCAGGGCTCAGAATCTGCTCAACGACAAAAGAATGGCCTGGGCTCTGGGGAACTGTACTTTGGAGAGAAGCCAGGTCTCAGGATGGGTCAGTTATGACCTGAAGTCTTGTGTCTAGTGCAGGAGAGGCCTGTGGGTTTGGAGGGAGCAGGGCCCCAAAATACTCACCCGAAAGAGGTGTTCCATTGGCCATCAGGGTCAGCTGGTCAGCGATGGCTTTGGTTCGGGAATAGTGGTCCATGTGCTGTCAGGTGGATGGGGGAGCAGAGCTCTGAGGTGGAAGGGGGTTCACTGCCTTGTCTGACCTGCCCTAGGCCTCTGCTTCAGAACAGACCAAGCTGGAATCTAGGGGCTCCCACCAGATACCACCAGGCCTGAGTGCCGTGCCCACCTTCCTCCATGGGCAGGATGAAAGTGGGTGTCCTTGCTGATCCCTGGACACAGAGGAGCAGTGATGATGACCAGGGTCACCTTGACCTAGAGAGGCTTCTCCCAGCCCTAGAGAGCTGTCTCCCGGCAGTGGTGACACTGGACATGTGTTGGCTTTATTAACTACTCTCATTCTTAACTGTCCCCGTGGCTTTTTCATATGCATGAACTCATTTCCCGTTCCTCACAACCTCGGAGAAGTGCTATCACGCCCAGACGAAGAAACAGAGGTTCAGAGTGGCTAAGCGATTTGTTTAGTGTCCCACAGTCAGGGAGCACCCAGACTTGCCTGATTCCCAGAGGTCTCTGTGGGAATACTAGCCAGAACAGAAAAGGGGGCAGGCCACTCTGTGTTAGGGTCCCTTCTCCTAGAACAGGCCAGTCAGTTTTGGGGGTGCCCGTGCCCCTGATTCCACCCATCTTCTATCCTGTGGGCTTTGGTTAGTCCCGCCCACTCTGCTCAGGAACCAGTAAGTACCTTTTCCAGCGGGAAATATGGCACGGAGTCCTCGTCACCCTGTTCGATGGGCTTCCCGCCGAACGCCACGTTGACGGTGCTAGTGTAGACGAGCCTTGGGACGCGCCGGCGGACACAGACTGCAGCGGCAGCACGTACAGACAGCACACCGGAAAACACACACACACACACACACACACACACACACACACACACACACGGCAGACCGTCAGAGGTGGTCAGGTGAGGTGCCCACAGGGCACCCCATGGGCAAGTACCCGCACCCCCATGCAGCCTCCAACACAATCCCAGTCCTTGAACCAGTCCCGAGAACCCCGAGCTGCTCAAGAAGGAAGAGCACCCAGGCCCTAACTTGGGGTCTGAGTTGTACGCCTGCCCCTCAGAACCCTGAAGATCAGGCTGGTTCACTCTTCCTTCTGAGTGTAGGGGTGGCCCCTGAGATATTTGGCCAAGGGACAGGTCAGAAGAAAGTCTCACTCTTTGAGGACACAAGAAAAAAAAAGGCACACCAGAATCAGAGAGAAAAGTAAGGCAGGATGAGGCCAGAGAACCTAGACAGAGCTTAGACCTGGCTTTAGAGCCTTCCCCAGCCTTCTGCCCAGGCCCCTGAGTCCTCTGCACCCCACAGCCCAGCCACGCCAGGGCTCTGTTCCTGCACCCTGAAGCACTGCAGTCAGGGAGGGTGGGCTGGCTCACAGGCCCTCCCCTGGGGTGTTGGGAGTGGAGGAGAGGTCCCTCTGCTCCCCAGCCCCCTGGAGCTGGGCCTGTGGCAGGAGAGAAGAGAGGAGAGGAGACACACCCGCAGGCCACACCTCAGCTCTGAATGCCTACCATCAATCACTAGTTTGGTGCCTCCAACATTTACAGATTCAATCTGTTCTTTTTGCAGCTAAAAGACAAGATGAAGGTGGGGAAATCATTGGTGGAGCCCAGGCCTTGTTGTTAAGGCCAAAAGGCTGGGTGTGTGGTCAGGGTAGGAGGGTGGGTGTAGAAGTCCCAGCTCAGAGGCCCACAGAGCCACAATGGGATGCTCAGCTCTGCTATCACTATGCCCATCTGGTCCTTGGCAAATCTGGGGCAGTCAGCAGGATTAACCAAGGCCTACAGGAAGGGCCTGGTGCAGTACTTGGCCTGCCCTTTGATCCTCTGTTTCCTCACTGTAAGATGGACATAATAATACTCTCTGGGTCTTAGTGAGAGGGCATAAAAATTAAACCCAACCAGTCCTCAGAGGGCACTTCCTGTGTGCCAGGGCTGTGCCAGGGCTCACTGTGACCATCTCACTGAATGCTCAGAACAGCCCTAAAAGAACTATAGAGATTTTTGCTGCAATATTTTGTTTCTTTTCTACAGAAAAGAATCAACACAAAAAATTCATTGCTGTGGATTTGGAACCAAGTCTGCCGACCCTCCAATGGGTTTTCAGAGGCTGTTAATTGGTCTGGAGAAGACTGCCCATCTTTCTCCTAATGAACAGTTCGTGGATCCAAACCTTTGGGAAGGCAGCACAACTCTCTCTTGGAGGATATAGTCACTAGGTTAAAAACCAATTCAAATGGTAAAAGAAATCAAGATTTCCCCTCTCACTCCTAATTCTGGAGTCTGGAGGCCGCCACTGTGAGTTAGCAGCGCCTCTGTCTCCCTGGTTGGGTCATCTACACTTATTAATATCAGCATGTGTGTTATTGTTATGCGTCATTAAGTCAAAACCGATGACCTTCCAGGGGGTTTTCAGAGGTTGTAAGTCACATGGGAGCAGAATGACCATTTTTCTCTCATGGAGGAGCTAGGGGATTCAAACCACATGTGTCAGGGTCAGCAGCGCAGCTCCTTACCACTAGTCCACCAGAGCGCCCATGTGTTGTTGTTGTTGTTGTTATGTGCCGTCAAGCCGCTTGCGACTCATAGCGACCCTATGTACAACAGCCCTAAACCCCATGTGTTGTTGTTGTTGTTGTTATGTGCCGTCAAGCCGCTTGCGACTCAGCGACCCTATGTACAACAGCCCTAAACTCCGCTCTGTCCTGTGCCAATCGCACTGTCTCTGACACTCCCATCCCAATTATCCCAGCCACTGAATCAATCCACCTCATAGAGGCCTTCCTCTCCTGCGCCGTCCCTCCACCCTCCCAAGCATGATGTCCTTCTCCAAGGACCGGTCTCCCCTCACAACATGTCCAAAGTATGTTAGACGGAGCCTCAGAATCCTTGCCTCCAAGGAGCCACCCAGTTTGACCCTTTCCAGGACGAATCTGTTTGTTTTCCTAGCAGTCCATGGTATTCTCAATGGGAGATAGATGTGAAGAGAGTGGGTAGAAGTGGATGGGTATCCTGGTGGATGGTGGAGCAGGGAAATAGGTGGGTAAAGACACGTGTGCCAAAGGCAGGGACAACACTGACACTAATTTTTAACTCCACAATAGGGATATACCTTTAACTTGCTGGTCTGTCTGATACTTCTCTAAATCTGAATATTCACATTAAGACAGACTAGGAAGAAGGATTGGCCATCCACTTCTGAAACAGCAGGCCTCTGAAAACCCTATGTACAAAAAACCCATGTGTAGGCATATGCAAATGTAGGGATATCAAAAAATGTTCACCTGAACTCTGCTCTGAACAAACAGGACATCAGTCCCTGGTCTGCATTTGGTTAATCTGCTCTGTATCGGCAGATACAGTGTTACTCCGGTTCTTCTAACAACTGTATAAATTTCACGGCATGGATACAGCACGATCCCATTAAAGAATCCCCAACTGATGGGCAGTCAGGTTATTTCCTGCATTTTATGACCCAAAACATTGCTGCAATTACGAAAAGGATAGAAATAACAAACGTTATGCCTTGCGTAGCGTGTAACCAACATCACATACAACTTGTGTAGAAATTGTCAAGTGAAAAACTACTATGTAAACTTTCACCAGAAACACAATAAAATACACTTCAAAAAATGTTAAATGTATTTCTCAAGGAAGAAAAAAGTAGATTTATGCAAAGGAAGCAGGATATTAAAGAAGAAAGAAAGGAAAGTGAAATGAGAACTTTTATTTTCTTTCAATTAAAAAAATCCAACCTACAACCAGGACAAGATAATGTAGATGAATGGGATCTTCTAAGACTCAAATCCCTATGCACATCCAAAAACTTCTCCAACAGGGTAAAAAGGGA